CCTATTAAAAATTGTAAATGAGTTGTAAATAATCTTAAACAAACGTTCAAAATGTATTCAAGATGATTCGTATCGGATGATATTTCTACTATTGTTAATTGCTCGATTATTTCATATAGATATTTAAATGTTTCAGTTTCTAATTCAAATGAAAACGATCCACTTATAGAACCACGTTCGAATTTTGATTTTGCATGAAATTGATTATGTAAATCAATATGAACAAGTAATATTGAACATATGAATTGACCAGTGAATTTCTTTTCATTTAATGTTATCAATTGTGTATTTGGATATGCTTCAATTAATTTAAGATATTCTACAGCAGCCAAAAGCTTCTGTTCAATATCCAATGCTTTTTCAGTTGACAATACTGCTTCTAGGAAAAAAATCGAATTCGACAGGTATAGAAAAAAAACATGCTAAATCTTATATTATGTTCTAATAGTCTTTTTGTGAATAAAAATATTGAACAAAATAAGCACTAGTATTACATTATAACTTATCTCGGACAACATTCAACTCCCTTTTTATAGGTAGATTTCGTGAAATATGGTCTTCAACGAGTTAAATATCCATACATTTTATTGTCCACTATATTAATGACTATATATTTTGTTCAATTCAAAATCAATTTTTCTTACCAGTTCTATTTTGAACTTGTGTTGTGACATTGTTATCTATAGTATTATTCTGTGGTATAGTTGTTGTTAAAGATGATGTTTGCTTTTCTTTTTGAAATCGATCTAATGTCATCGTCAGATGTTTGTTCAATTTAACAAGTAATTTTCTTATATCAAAAATATCATTCGTATTGAAAATTAATTTTCTTATTAATGGTAGAATATCTTTGAATGATGCCTTCATGACAGAAAAATTAAATAAAATTTTAATTGATTGATTTGCTACAATTGGATCGATATCAGTTTGTATTGATAATTCTTGAATATAGTTAGTTAATGGTTTTAAAGATTTAAATAAATTATGTGATCGTTTGTAAACGTCAGA